TCCGTTCTCCCCCTTTCTTCAAAGCTGTCATCGTCGTCAGCCACGATGCCCGACTCATCACAGAAACCAACTGCCAGCTGTGGGTGGTGGAGGAACAGAGTGTTAGCCAGATCGATGGTGATTTCGAGGACTACAAGCGGGAGGTGTTGGAGGCCCTGGGTGAAGTCATGGTCAACCGACCCCGAGAGTGAGCTTTCCTTCCTGGAAGTCTCCCAAGCGTGTGTGGCCTCGAAGTCCCTTGTGTCTCCCTCTCTCCTCGGAAGCCTGTCCCTGGTCTGCAGCTGACCCAGCAATAGGGCATATGATGGCAGAGCGTGGTCCTGAATGGACCCGGATTCCACTTTGATTGCTTCCTTTTCTCCAAAAGAGTTGTCTGTTCAGCTGCTTCAGACAACTGGGACTTGGCCTTACCCTTGACATCCCCCTGTACCCACAGAGGTGACCTTCATCATTGTGGGGTTCCATCCAGCCATGTTTACGTGGCCAGTTGTCTTGAGACTCTTTTGTCACCCAGAAGCCCGCCTCTGGGCCACCTTAAAACTTCAGGCTCAGCTGCCCCCTGGTCTTCGAGTGTGCTGCCCTTTCCTGGTGGGCTTCATGCTGGCTGACTGAAACACAGCTGTTGCAGCTCCGGGCTGGAGGAGAGTGCCGAGGCCTGTGCTGTCACCCAGGATTAGTGCCTGTAGTCTCACGTCTGGCTGGGGACTGGGGGCAGGAAGGAGTGCTGCTCAACTGAATCTCCCTTTACCGGGGGGGGGGGGGGGGGGGGGGGGGAATAAAGTAAAGGAGTTGCTGCCACCCTGTCAATCTTTGGAGATCTGTGGGAGCTGGAAAAATCTTGATATGCTTTATTCCATTTTCTAGCAGCATTTTGTCTTCCCTCTTCCCACTAATGCAGTGGATCTGACCAGCTGTTTAAGGAGTCTCCTTATCTCCCCCCAGCCTTTCAGACAAGGGAAAGGGAAAGTGATCCATCCCTTCCATTGCGGATCCTCGAGTCTCACTGTTCAAGCTCCGCCTTATGATTGGACCAGTGCTGATCCTCTCAGCCGACGTGTACAATACTGAGGGGGTGGATAAGACGGGAAAAGACATGGTCTGCCTTCATGAATAGTTTAGTTAGAGATGATTTAGAAAGGAAAGCTTGAACATTTAGTGTGATGTGATTCATTGCCATGTGGGATGCTTTAGATTGTAAGTTGTCGCACACTTATAGAAGGGAAGGGTGATTCAGGATTTGATTATTTAGCAGGATCTCTTGAGGCTGGATCTTGAAAAATGATTTGAATAATGGAAACTGCCATTTTCGGAACCTAGGGAAAAAGCAGGTCTAAGGTTTGGAAGGAAGAGAAAATATTTGGGAGTTAATGAAGAACATGGCTGGTGCAGCCATTTTTCTGATAGGAGTTACGTTGGCGTGGTTTACAAAGTGGTGAATTTATGTAGTGATGGGTGGACTCCCATGTATTTTTTATTGTGAGGATGAGGTAACTAAATGCAGAACTAGGGTAGGCCAGAGAAGCATGAAAGGGAAGGGCACATGGAAAGACCTGGATAGGGGACATGTGAAGAGATCAAGATGTATCCAGTTCTGGGGGAAATATGAAGAGCCGTTTGGTTCATACTTGCTGAGTTTCGGCATCTAATTTTGGGAAGCTATTTCCTGGCCAAGTGAATAAATTGAACTGGACCTTAATAAGCACAAGGTTTATTCTGGAAGTGAAGACTTGCTGTAGAGATAGTTGCACACATGCCGCTAGTGCACATCTGGACAACTGGAGGGGCAAAGTCAGGCTGTTGTGCCCAGCACCCGAGCACAATGTCCATGTAAAGTCATTTCCACAGTTCTGTTAAGTAGGTAGATCATAGAATAGTGGGGACCAGGTGACCTCAGACAAGTTGTTAACCTCTTGGTACCTTTTTCCTCATCTGTAAAGTGAAGTTGATAAAAAGCACCTACCTTAAAGATAAATACGTAATTATCTGTAAAGTACTTTAAATTCTTTAGCTTATATGTAATGTTTCATTCTGTACTTAAAATCACTAGTCACCAATCTAGATGAGGTGGTATGTAGAATATACAAGTGTTATTTATACTTCAATACCCAAATTATGCATTTCAGGTTTTTAGTCACTAATTTCACTACTTCACAAGGCTCCAAAATAACTTCTGTCCATGGCATAAATTTCATTTCTTCCCTCAGAATACGTAGTATGTAATGGATTACTAATATGCTTAAATATGGACAAAAAGATGTCCTTTGAAAAAGAGCAGTACACAGATGCCAAAACAACAAAATAATATATTTACATGATACAGTATAGAGGAAAATAGTATTTCAGTAACAAATATTTTTATTCCTAAACTTATAATATCTACAAATCATACATTAATGTGGTTCATAATAAACGCCATAGAAATGTGATTCTGGGCCTTCCTAATGGTGCAAGGGGTTAAGTCTCAGCACTATGAAGCTATCAGCAGCCACTGTGGCCTGAGTTTGATCCCTGGCCAGAGAGCTACCCACATGGCACAGCAGACCTCTCCTGTCTTGCCCGCTGCTCTCCTCAGCAGTGTATTTCAGTAGATCTGTCCTGCTCCCCACTATCTCTAGTGAATCCCCCCCCCCCACCTCTGGTCTACACCCCAGCTCTTGTATGCATAAATAAAATAAATCTTTAAAAAAAAGTGATTCTCCTCCACACCTTCCTGCTAGGATAACACTCAGGACTAACCTGCCAGAAGTCACCTAGCCTGCAGAGGGCTGTTCCAGGAGTATTTGTTTGACTCCAACGCCCCAGGCATCTGTAGAGTGTGGACTAGGTGGCCACACAATGAGTCCTAGGAGAATGAGACCCAGGCTGGGACTGTGACGTAGGGAAGGCTGACAATGACAATGGAAAAAAGGAAAACCAGAAAGGAACTGTGTGTCCATGCAGGACTCCCAGGAGATCTGGGAATAGAGGCAGTGACCTTGTGTGTCACTGTTGAGTGTAGCAACTGAAACAACTGAACTGGCCATTCTAGGGCACTGGCTCTCAAAGCCCCAAACAAGCAGCAGCAGGAGGAGATAGGACACCCAGAATCCTTGACAGAGTTGTGATAAGGATCTAGGAGCGATGGGAGGCACCAGTGGTGTTTATGCAAGAGTGCAAATTGATCTAGATTTCACTATTTTTTTTTAAAGATTGATTTATGCATATAAGAACTGGGGTACATGCCAGAGGTGTGGTGGGGTGAGAGGATTCACCAGAGACAGATTGGGGAATAGAACAGGCAGACTGAGTGAAATACACTTAAGAGGAGGAGCAAGTGGGACAGGAGCAAGTGCATCATGTGGGTAGCTCCCTGGCCAGGAATTGAACTCATGCCGAAGTGGCTGGCAATAGCTTGATAATGCTGAGACTTTAACCCCTATGCCACCAGAGTGGCCCTCTAGTTTTGGTTTGTTTTTTATTTTAAGATTATGCTTACAAGAGGTGGGGTACAGGCCAGGGGTGCGGGGGGTAAGAGGATTCACCAGAGACAGAGTGGGGAGCAGAACAGGCAGAATGACTGAAATAAACTGCTGAGGGGAGCAGCGGGTGAAGTCAGGAGAGGTCTGCTGCGCCACGTGGATTGCTGCCTGGCTGGCCAGGGGTGGAACTCTCTGCAAAGGCTGCACATTACCTCATAGTGCTGTGTTTAACCCCTTGTGCCACCAGGGAGGCCCCCTAGTTTTTAATTGCTCTGATTGTTGGAGCATGGTGAGGAGAGACCGTGGAGGTGCCAGACCATTCCTTGGAAAGGAGGAGCTTCTTCCTCTTAGGAAGGTAAACCATGGATATTTTCAAGTGAAGGAAAGTGAAAATGGTACCCGCATCGAATGGGATTCCCTTTCTCAGGAGTTTTGGTGCCAGAGAATCAAGAAGAGTTAGAAGTTTGCCAAGCAGCAGTAAATGTTGAGTCAGTGCTAATAATTTGCCCTAGGCCAACATGTGACTTTCTTTCAATAGTAGGTTTACTGCCTGGGAGCAGCAACGGAAGAAATTGATGATTTAGAATTAGAGATCAAACTAAGATTGGCAGAGGACATCTTGAATTGAAAGCATGAAGGGAGTGGTGGGATGGAAGAAGAAAAAGAGCAAATCAACTTGAAAATGGGGAGAGAAGTGCCTGCAGGAGCTCAATAGTGTAGTGAAAGGGATGAAATACTTTGCCTACTGCCTCTGCCCCCAAAACTTTTTTTTAACAGATTACTTTAATTTTTTGTGGAGAATTTGAAAGAAAATGGCTAGTTCTTTCTTAAACTAGGAAAAGTTTAAGCTCTGGAAGGATTCTTGTGACCTGTTGCAGCAAAGGGAAAGTGAGAAGCAGGCAATAAAAGGAACCAGAAAGGCAACTTAAGGAATGACCCACTAGGTTGTGACTTGCTTTCACCTGCATGTGTCCTTAATTGGTGTTTCGCCTCTTAGTTTAGTGCTCCTCAGGTCCTCCCCAAGTGCACAGAGCAACAGCAGACTAGTGCCTGAACACCCCTCCAAGACTGGACCGACCGGATAAATCAGTGCCATTGGCCTAAGTGTAAATAAAACCTGGGAAAATTAGGAAGTTGCTGCCTCCATGTGGCCAATCCTGGGAATAGCAGCCAAGAAACGTTCTCTGTGCAGTATTTTCAGTTTTCCAGACAGGATTCAGCAACACCTGGAAACTTGCTAGAAATGCAGCATCTTGGGATCACAGACATACTGCAAATGTGCTGGACCCACCTCCAGTTTGTCTTTTAACAAGCTCTTCAGATTTGAAATTCATGCCCTCAACCCAAGCCCTAGTATCCCAATCCTTGATGCCAACCAAAATATAATACATTAATTACTCCTACAAGAACAGAACTTCCTAAAGCTAATCCTATCTTTCCATATTTTGGTTTCCCAAAACCTGTCTTCCCAGGAATCTTATGCTATGAAAAATAAAAATCTTGATCCTATGATGCCCAACAGCAGTCCTGTTTTCTTACTCTGTAGAGCCTTCTTTTTTCCCATTGCTGCTTTTCCACTGGAACGGCTCTTCCTAGATAAGGCTTCCTTCCCCCAAACCCCTTCCCTAGTGCAATGCGCCTGTGGCTCCGCCTCCCCAGGTCCTACCGCTTGCTCCAAGGCCGGTGATCGTGGGATCCTCAGTGTCCTTTAACGTTCTGTCACCCAAAGCATCCCTTCACTAGTATTTCACTTCATCCCAGCACTGAGAGATGTTAGCGCCAAAGGTTTGAAAAACATTCTACAAAAATATCTATTAATGTAACTTGGTTTTTTTTTAAACAGAGTCCAAACACACCAGGAGTTAAATAAGCTGCTTCTCTTTCCATTGTTTATTATTAATGTACAAAATATACAAAACCGAAAGAAAAAAGAATATAATCATCCTTGAATCCATTGTGGCTTTAACCCAAGACCCTGCACAAAACCCAACCAATGCACTGTTTTCATAGAAAACAACTGATGCCGAGACAGGTAAAGGGGAGGCTGGGGAGGGCAGGTCATCTCATTGAATCCACCCAGGAAGGCACCTGGAGGCCTCACACTGTCAGGTCACAGAAGGGGAAGGAGGCACTCTGCCAAAGACAGAGCGTGTAGTGTGGCTAGCAGGCCCAGTGGGCCCAGCGTGCCGGGCTGAAGTTGATGGGAAGCTGGTTTCACTGAAGTGTTTTTACAAGTTTCCAGAATGAGGTGAAGGCAAGGATGGACCAACACCACAGGCCTCACCCACATCAGCTAAAACTGTCACCAGGTGCAGACGAGTTTGCCATCTTTGAACCCAGCGACCCCTGATGCCAACTTGGGTGTTGACAGAAGGCAGCAGTCTTGAGAAAGGACTCAATGGAAAGCCTGCGTCGGAGAGGGATGGGGATAACCAGTGTTCTAGAACTCAAATCCAGCCTGATCGAGCCCTCTCAGTGCAGTGGGATAGGCCATACCCCTTCACCATTTCCCCACCCCATGAGGAATAATGAGCTTGGCTGGGACGATTTCATAAGTGCAGCTGATCCCATGTCAGAGTTCTGTGTGCATGTGGAGGACCCGCAACGGGAGAGCTGAGGTGTTCTCCAGGATAACCAGCTTTAGGTTCTCAGGCATGAAGGGTAATACTGGAAAAGGGCTTGGGGTACAGGGCAAATCTCCTCAAAAAGTGAAGCCAACTGGGTCTCCTCTTCAGCAGTCCAGGGTAAGAACGTGTCCAGTCTCTCTCCTCCCCAGACTGGAGGAAAATATGTACATCGGTGCACACCAGTGATCAGAACCCCCAGGAACCCGAGCAGGTGGGAACTGAGGGGCCGGCTCCTCATCAGCTGGGAAGGGGGAAAGTGGGCCTCACAGAAGCCATAACAGGGTGGAAGGAGCAAGGCTGCAGTCCTCAGGGGCGTGTGTGGGCGGGGCAGGCAGGTGGTCCCTAGGGCAGGGGGGGCCCATTGACACCCGGGTGGTAGAAGGCACAGTTGTTCTCATAGCGGCAGTTGCCCTTCATCATGAAATGTCGGCAAACAGGGCGGTTTGACATGTCTGTGGAACGACGGCGGGATGGTTAGACAGGCAGCGGCTAGGAGGTCAATGCCACCCTCAACACCTCCCCTCCCTTGAGCACGGCATCTTGAGAACGGTCTCAGAGAGACAGTCTTGGGAATTTGGGGGCAGGCCATGCACTTTGAGAACAAGGGGAAGTCATGTTCTGCCAGGCATACCCAGGGTAGAAAGACTCCCCAGAAATCTGTATGGGACGCTAAAAGCCATATGGGGGCAGGCAGCTTCCTCACCTCCTCCATGGCTGTGGCCTCCATCGTGCCCTCGGTGACCCCCTCCGTGGCCAGGGCCATCATGGCCACGGTGCTCGTGAGGGGGTGGCCCTCGATGGTCGTGGCCTCGGTGACCAGGGACATCGTGAGGTCGGTGGCCATGGGGTCCCCCATGTCCAGGACCTTCATGGGGACGATGTCCACCACTTCCACCCATGCTCCCACCAGGGCCTTCATGGGGGCGATGTCCACTGCTTCCACCCATGCCACTGCCAGGGCCTTCGTGGGGACGATGTCCACTGCCACCGCCCATGCCACTGCCAGGGCCTTCGTGGGGGCGATGTCCGCCGCCACCACCCATGCTGCCGCCAGGGCCTTCGTGGGGGCGATGCCCGCCGCCCATGCCACTGCCAGGGCCTTCATGGGAACGATGTCCACTGCCGCTGCTCATGCCCCCACCGGGGCCTTCGTGGGGGCGATGCCCACCACCTCCAACCATGCCCCCACCAGGGCCTCCTCGTCCATTTGGGGGTCCTCCTCCAGAGCGACCTCCTCTGGCCCCTCGGAATGGAGGAGGAGGGGGAGGGGGTTCATTGCCTCCTCGGCCACCGCGTCCTCTATGATATGGTCCAGGACCCGGTCCTGGACCTCCCCGCATTGGGCCACCCCGCATGGGGTCACCTGGGCCATCCCAGAAGGGATCACCTCCCCGGGGAGGGGGTGGAGGACCCAGGAGACGTGGACCCACTGGCCCGCCGGGGCCCCCAGGACCTCCGTGGGGACCTGTCAAGGAGAAAGGGGGAGAGAAACACTATCAGTTACCTCGCCTCCCAACACAAACCATCTCCCACCTTCTGATCAATCCCGAGAGTCCAGCCTCTCATTCATCACCTACCTGGCATAGGTCCCCCAGGTCCAGGGGGGAAGTGCTGCATGCCCTTGGGACCCCCAGGGCCTCCGGGTGGGAAACCATTGGCTATGGGCCCAGGGCCTAGGAGCCCATGGGGTACTGTGAATGAGAAAAGTGAAGCGCTCAGCGAGAGGATTCTGTATGTGACTTTGCACTTAGCGTGCCCAACTGACGCCCTCTCACACCCACCTGGCAGAGCCACGCGCTCTGTCCAATCTTCCCCCTCCATGTCTTGCCGTTAGTGGCAATACCCCCGCCTCCCCTAATTCCACCGTGGCTTCCGCCCCCCAGAGCCCGGCGCTGGCCTGATGATTACCAAGCATCTGCTTGATCTTGTCCGAATAGTCCGGCTGTTTCAGCAGTTCCTCTGAGGGGTGACTATTTGGGCTGCCCTGTTGGGGAAGGTCAGGAGAGGGCAGGGTGAGAACCCCCGGAGAGCAGGATTGAGGACACGGAGGATGGGGGCAGAGAGGAAGGAGGTACATACCATTATCGAAGTGAGGATCTCCTGAACATTGATGCCTCCTCCTCCGGGACCCTGGGGGCTCTTCCCAGCACCCATGCTTCCCATAAGATTGGCCAGAACAGGAGGCAACTTAGAGCCACCTGCCCCATCAGGTGAGCCACCAGCGCCCCCAGGCTCTAGGGTCTCCATATACGGGGTCTCATCCATTGAACATTCCTAAAAGAAGAACAGGAAAACAATTAGGACCAACTAAAAGAGTCAAGGGACACTGTCACATGAAAAATGCATTAAAATCAATCCCAACCTCCATTGCCATGTAGCACTCACCTCATCTAGGGGGATGAGTTTCGGAGGTACAGGTTCATAGGGCTCAGGATCAGGCTCGTGAGGACTATCGGGAATGCCGCAGGAGATGGAGGAAAGAATGATAGTCAAGTTATTTATTCGGGCCCTCAAATTTCCTCCCAGCCTCCTGCCCTGACACCCCTTAGGAGTCCAAGCGCTCCACACCCAGGGCATAAGTGAACCCCCACCTGCTCACCTTTCCTTGTTCAGGAAGAGCTCCTGAAGGATTCCTTTCTCCCGCTCAGCCTGGATATACCGCTCCTGGCTGTTGCTTCCAGGGGTGACAAGAGGTGAGGGCAGCACCAGGGGCCGCGGGCACACCCAGGGCACCTTCTCTTCCATGTTGTCATGGCTCAAACGCCGGGCTGTCTCAAATGCGTGTCGGTCTGACAGTATCTCACGCTTGGCTGCCTCACCAAAGTCCTTGATCTTGTTCACATTCACTAATGTGAGGAAACACACGCACAGGAGTAAGCACATCAAGCACTTTCTTTTTAAATTCGCTACACCTGCCTATTAAGATAGGCCACTGGCCCTCTTACCACGTTCAGTTTCATCCAGTTCAAAGTAGAAATATTCTCTGAGCTTGCCCTCCTCAGGCCATGTCACAGTTTTCCTTTTCCTGCCCTTCCGAGTCAGCTGGTTAGGATCTCCGGGACTCTCCACCGGCTTTGCATCCAGAGCTCCGGGCTCCAAAGAGGCTAAAGAAGCAGAAGAGGTTTCAGACCCAGGTCCTTCCTTGCAGAAAACCCACTATCTGAACCCTCTGCCAGACTAACCTGTGTCCATGAGCTCTGGGACCTCAACAGGGGGGACTGGGGTTCCCGGACGATCTGTGTCTGTAGCCTCGGGGGGGGTGGGTTCTGGGGAAGAAGGCTTGGCTGTGCTTGGTTCTGTGCTTGTTTTCCCTTCAAATGGGCTTGGCTATTGGGAAAGAAAAAGATGCCAATGAGCGGATGGGAGAGCCAGGTCTAGGGTACTGGGCAGGATCCCCAGGGGTTCCCATAAAGAAGACCAACTCCAACCCACCCACCACCTGATGCCCCAAGACCTCTGATACACAACTCTTCTTGTCCTCCCCAACCACTCCCAGCTGCCAGGACCTGCCTACGACACCTACCACCCACGCCCATACCTTGGCAGCTGTAGGCGACAGCACTTTCTTCTTCTTTTTAATTTTGATGCCTGGAACAGGGGCTGAATTGAGAGCATCCAGAAAGCCCAGGCCCTCCATAGCTACAAAAGGAAAAAGCAGAAAATGGACTCATCAGACCTACTTGATGACCTTACTACTATAGAAAAGTCTGGGGCAAAAATGGACTAATAGAATGGAGATCCTGCCTCAACTCAGGACACAGATAAATTAAGGTGGCCAGGAAACATATGCAGCAGAATTGACACAAGGAATTATCATCATTGTTCTATATTCCTTTTAAAAGGAGGTAAGCCAAGGCTTTGGCTATGAATCAGAGCTCAGGTAACTTACAAAGCCAGCCCCTGTGGACATGACAGGCTATCCTGCCAGCTGGGAGTGCCCCTAACCAATCATTGACTAGCATGCCTCGCTACCTCAGCTCTAAAATTACATACTCCCAAGTCATCCCATGAAAGGGGAGTTCCAGAATTGCTAAAGTTAAAGGAGATGGAGAAACTAGAGGAGAACAATGAAAAGACGTTCTCTCCCCGCTCACCCCACAATTCATTCCCATGAAAAGAGTCTGCTCCTGATTCAAAGTACACATCCCCACTTTCAACTCACGTTGTGGTGGGATGATCTTGACCTTGATCTCTTTGGTGGCATTAGGGGTTGTGTTGAGTGGCTTGTACTTCTTCTCTGCCGGGGGGGCAGCATCTCCCGGAGCAGCTGCAGAGCTGTCAGAAGAGGAACTGTCAACAACTCCTTCTCACCCCTCCTTTCTCCCTCCTGCCCACAGACCCAACCCATTCAGAAACCCACAACATGGTCCGTACCTCTGACGCTTGAGGGGGATGGGCTTAAGGTTGTACTTGTCAGAAACCACCACTGCACTGGCGTTCTTCTTCACAGGCACCAAAGACGGGGTCTCCAGTTCTAGCCCTGGGGCAAAAGACACAGTATCCAGTTGACTCATAACCCATGCGCTTGACTTTTCCTCCCTGTCGCTACCCTCAAATCTAGCCTTGAATGCACACCCCCAAACCTTCTCCCACAGGTTTATCATATGGGAAAACCAACTTTCCTCCACCAGGCCCTGTGCACATATCCACAGACCAGCCTGAGGCCAGCCAACAGCCTTACCAGTGGAGCGGAACTTGGCATGACTGGGAGCTGTGGTTCGAAGAGACTTGGGCTTCTCCTTCTTTTTCTCCGGGGCTTCCTCAGTTCGGGTCTCAGTCTTCACTTCAGTCAAAGGTCGCTCAGGAGGGGTTGTTCGACTCTTTCCCTCTTCTTTACGTTTTTTCTTGTCTTTCTCTGTTATGGAAAATCAAAGCAGAAAAGAATTTTATTTAAAGAGAAAGTCTACCAGTCAGAGGTGAAACTGAGCGGGAACTGAAGGCTACATGCCAGCTGGAAAGAAATACAAGGGGTAAAAGACTAAGGAGCTTACCAGCAGGCTGGGTGCTGCTCTGGGAGCGAATGACAGCCATCCAGTCACTGACAAGGACTGAGGCCAGTTTCCGAAGTTCTGCAGGTAAGAGAAAGGGAAAATATTAAAATGTTGTTCTTCTAGTTAACAGAAAATAGACATGTTTGAAAATATACTTGTGAAAAATCTGTGCAATGGAAAAAGTAACTCAAGAGTTTTAGTGTATGCTGTAGAAACTACACTCAAACATGGGAATCAGAAGCACAGAGATAAAAGTCACAGAACTGGAAGGTGGCAGAACCAACCCAGTTCCCCTGATCTTCCCCTAATCACTTGTTGAAAGAATAGAAAATAAAGTGAGAAGAAAGATAGGGAGGGTTAAGTATTGAGGGATTACTGATTTTAAAGAAACATTACGTGGTGTGCCTAAAAAGTGACTTAATGCAAAATGTGTCGGAGGCAGATTTATTTAGCTCCATTAAAAAAGTTTTTTAGACAATCTTTTTTCTTTCTTTCTTTTTTTTTTTTTTAAAGATTGGGCCTCCCTGGTGGTGCAACGGGTTAAGATGCAAGATATGAAGCTATCTGCAGCCACTGCAGCATGAGTTCAATCCCCGGCCAGGGAGCTACCCACATGGCATAGCAGACCTCTCCTGTCTCACCCACTGCTCCCCTCAGCAGTGTATTTCAGCAAATCTGCCTGTTCTGCTCCCAGCTCTGTCTCTGGTAATACTCTCATCCCTCGCACCTCTGGCCTACACCCCAGCTCTTGCATGCATAAATAAATAAATCTTTAAAATAAATAAATGAAACAGAGAAAACTCAAATGAGGTAGAAAGAGAAGGAATAAAGAAGAATCTAAGAATGGGGAGAGAGATGAAGATATCAATGTGGAAGTAATAGAGAAAGGGCAAAACAGAGAAAGGACCAGCCCCTACCTTCATCCTCACTTGACTTGCTCAGTTGCTTCACCAGTTTGGCTGTGTTGTTCTGTGAGAGAGGGAACAGCAGAAAGGTAAATGCCAGTGGGAAATAAATCCATAGCTACAACCCCACAAACACACTCACCATCTCTCAATAGTCCTTTGAGAGACAGTGACTAACACTGATATAGCAGTCTACCTTTGACAAGGTCTCCATAGACACATTCTTACTTAATCTTTAGAACAACCCAGTTAGGTAGGTACAATTATTTCTACTTTATTTAGAAAAAAACTTTGGCTCAGATACATGAAGTGTCCACGTCACATACGTATTAAAGGAGATAACTCTAACCAAATCTTCTGATTCCAAATTCCTATTTTTTTCTATCATTCTACCTTACAGCTGCAAGACTGCAGTCACATGACAGTCAGTGTGAGTTTTTCATCTCTTAGGCCAAACCAGAAAGGAAGCATCAGGATGTTAAGATTCAGGTACCTGCTTGAGATGGTCCACAGTGAGCGGAAGGTGCTGCAAGGTCAGCAGAATTTGCTGCAAGAGGGGAATGTTGTTGGTTGTCTTTGAGTATGTTAGCCAATTGTTAAGAAGCTTGTAGCCACCAACATCAATAAATCTGTGGGTAGGTAGAAGGAAAATCTGTAAGGCCCTTCCTGGATTTGGGAAGCACCACATCCCATACTTCTAGTCCTCCCTCAACAACCCAAGAACCCCATGCCTCACACCTCCCCCCACCTTCTTCTCATCCCATCTACCCAGATCCCCACTTACTTGACCAATATTTCTGGTGAACGGGTTTGCAGGAGAATGTTCAAGTAAGTGCAGCGACTCACCATCTTTCGTGCTTCCTTCATCAGACTGAGAGAGAGGAGTTCAAGTTAGAGAGAGCACAGCTGGAGGGTGCCTGCTTTTCAGCAGGGAAGTCTTGCATCTGAGGGGTGCCTAAAAATTCCCAATGACTTGAGACTTTTGCTCGAGAGGCTCACCCAGGCCTCCAGGAGGAGGAGACAGATCCAGAATGAAATGGAAATGCACAGGGGATGGACGATAACTGAGGACTGAAGTCTGATCTGGGGAAGGCAGCATTACTGCTTCCCTAACACACAGGACGCGTGAGTCTGCTTTCAAGAATTCTGTCACCTGGCTCCCATTTCCTTCCTTCTAACGTGTGACCCTCATGGGACTGTGGATGTCCAAATATCCAGGTTCCAGTATGGCCAGCGGCCACAGGATCATCTATTCCTATGACTTATTTGAATTCTATTCCACTGATGTTTCCTTTTCACTCCAGGAATACTTGCTCCTGTCTGTCTTAATTTTAGCCATATTAGAAGATACAAGGAAGCCAAAGGGTAGACTCACCTGAAGATCTTGGCAATCCCATCCACACTCTTGACTTCCCCATCTCGGTTAAGAAAGCTATCGAGGCCCTTGAGAAGCTCTTTAGGGTCTATGGGACCCGAACCCATGATCGAGGTTTCTGCGAGACAGAACAAAGCCACAGAATAAATGGGTGGCAAGGACAGTCCCTGACATCTATTAAATTCCATCTCTACATTTGACCAAATATAGCAACTAATTACTCAAACTACATTCAACTACACTCACCATTTTCTAGGTAAGAAAAATCAAGAAGCCATTGTTACTGAGAAAATAGCAATGTTAATATGAAGACTAGATTGGAGGAATGGGACGCACACCTCTCCTGCCCCGCTAACTACATCCTCCCAGGACAGCTGAACTTCACTAGATTGCATTAAAGCCAAGATTCATGTTCCTATGACAAAACACTCAACTCTTCAAGACATTTTTACTTATTAGGTTTTGTCCCCTCTTAGCTGCTTAGCTGTTGATAAATCCGGCTTGGGGGAAAAAATGTAACTTGACAAGAACCGGGCCAATCGTAGGTGCTTGGGCTAAATGTCTTCTAAGAGTCAATCTCTTTTTATTTGAGGCCATTAAGCATCCCAAGTGGCAGGATATGTTCTACTTGCACCAGTAGACAAGGAGTTAAAGTACTAATAGAACACAAAACTTGAAAACAGAGCCTTTCCCTCACTCCTGGACAGGGCAGGATAGAGTGCCCAGGATAGAGCGTGGGGAGAGAGCCCAGGAATGGAGACAAGAGGGTCCTCCTCAGCCTGGAATAGAGTATCACTCGGCAACCAAAAGTCACAAGTTTTTATTGTTTCAAAATTAAGGGCAAGACTGGTTTGTGGTTTCAAAACCAAGTTGTAAATCTGACCCCTTCTTCCCAAATCACACCACCATCCAAGGATGTCCAAGACCTGAAATTGGAAACCACAGAGCCAAAAAGAACATACCAGATAAAGCTAGAAACTGGGGGAAATGCCATTAGGCTTTAAGTAGCTACTTCAGAATAGGCCAGAAAAGTTTAGTAAAGCTGAACTGCTGGGACAGAGTTGGGTGAAGCAAATGCTAGTCCAGGACCCAAATAAGAAAGTAGTTTAGAATCAGTATGGCTCTGACTGGCACTTTCATCCACATGTCTCCTCAACACTGGCTTGGCTCCTGAGAACCAAAAAAGCAAGTTAGTTCAGTAATGTCTGCATTTGGGAAATAAGGCTAACACTGAGAAAGGAGACTCAGAGAGGCCAGGAGAAAACCACCTCTTGCATCCTGCCGCTGGTACAATATGACAGCTACAATGTCAGCAGAAAGGTAAGAAAACCAGTATTTTACAAATATAACTATACTTAGGGCAGAAAACAGGCTTCTCATTGAAAAATAAAATTCTCTTTATTCTCAAACCAAAAAAGAAAAATCTCAAACTTTTAGTGCTCCCAACAAAAGGTCAATTATTTTTCTAACTATATAGCTCCTGTAAGACCTAGTAGACAAGAAGTAGCAGCAGCAGGGAGGAGTCTGATTCTTGAAATAACCTGTGGGCTGAACATATGGAAGTAGATGAGGTAAAGAATGCTGAGGTGAGGAATCTGGGTTAAGTGTGCTGTCGCTGCCGCCCTGGAACTCCACGAGGACAGGTAGAACTTGAGGTCTGAAGAAAAAACATTCAAGCAGGATACCGGGTAAGATTAGCAGTCCACAGGCCAAGTCCACTAAACTGTGATGATTCTTAGAGACAAGGACACAGGGATAAAGAAATATTCCCCGTGTAATAAGAGTCTATCAAATGACGCTATAAAGAGATATAAACACAATAAAGGGACACATAAGACAGATTCCCCATCTGTGGGAGACTGGAAAAGCAATGAATGAATCCAAATATACATGAGCAACCAAAACATATACAATCTGTTAAGTCTTCAATTAAACTAGCATCATTTAAATCAGCCCCACCTAAGTACAGCTGACCCCTCTGAGGTGAACTGAATGTGCATCACCTCGGAGAACTTCCCTCTGCAGAGCCAACTACCCCCTAAGCTAACAGCCCTGCTACCACTACCTTCTCCAGAAACTCAAATTGTGACCCGAGTTCAAATCTTCCTTCACTTGAAGAGGGAGGGTATGAGATAAGGAAGAAAAGTCATCCTGAGAGAGAAAAAGCAATTTACATAGCTAAATTCTGCCCAGTGCCTTCTGTCCCTGGGACAACTTTTTAATTCCCACTCACAAGCACAAAAAACAAGGGAAGCTAGGAGACAAAGCAAATATGAAATATTAATTTCTACTATTATTTTTCTATTATATTTTAGAAATCTTACAAAAGTAAATGAGCACCAATCATTGTCCTACAATGCAAGTGGGTTTTTTCATGATGGTTTTGCACCAGGCACTTTTCACTCATAAAATCAAGGAGGTCGAAATGTCTTACAACCTAATTTCCCTATTTTGAAGTCGGTACATTTTGAAAGAAATTCCAAAGCACTCATGTGGTAAGGAATGAAGAGCCTGAATTCCTGGCACAGGCCTACAGTATAAAAGGGAAGTGAGCTGGCCAGGGAGGAGCAGCAGCCTCCCGGTGTCACAGCAACATTACCTACTCTGGAATGAAAGCTTGAGGAAGTTTTCTGCAACCAAAAATAATCCAGGACATATTTTCTCTTAATGTCCTTGAAAGCAGAACATACAGAAGAGGGAAGCGGGAGAGGGGTAGGGAAGCAACCCCTGCCTTATCCCCACCTTGTCCTAAACTATGCTTTCCTTAGGGAGGATGTTGCTTGCACAGACAGGCATCACTGACAAAAGGCACTGGTGAATTTTCTACCCTTACCAGTTAATGTCCAGAAATGACACTGACTCCTGCCTCCAAGAGGAATTTTACTTGAGGGTTATTCAATTAAATAGGGTGAAAAATACCTACCTTGGCTAAAGCTGTTCTATACCCACCACCAATGAAACAAGTGAATTGGCTTAGGACAAAAATTCTAAGAAAATCATCACAACACCCTTCTAACAAAGGAGGAAGGCGTTTGAGTTTACTTTTACTTAAAAGCCTTAGCATTTCTGGAAAATGCTTTGTACCTAACCCCTTATGTTACATTACAAAGGGGTTCCTTTGCTCAGTGTCTGAAGCATTTTCTAGTATGACTCAACACTAAGACTTAATGTCTCTCAGGTGCTTCACAAGATACTCCTCTTACTAGTTAAGCCCCTTTCCTTCAAAGTCATTTTGAAAAAACCCGGTACAGGCTCTCTCCAGAAGCTTATTTGCTTTCAGCAAGGATGTAAAAATCACCAACCCTCCCCACCACAGGAAAGAAGCCCAGAATAGAACGCTGGCAACAAACTACAAGGATCAGATCTCTTGAGGTTTTCTGGGTGGATTTGGTTTCTCTAGCAGACCTCGCTTCCCATCTCCCATGTTAAGGAAGATCTTCTTTATTAATTCCCTGGTCACTAGAGATCAGGAGCCCCAATGGGTAGAATGTTCAGCTCCCACGGAAGGTATGCTGCAGAGGAACATGACAAACTGCTTAAAAGAAAAAACTTGTGGTCAATAGACATGGGGAAGAGCCCCTCCCATCCAATCCAAGTTCAAGATATAATTTGAGAAGCCATACCCGGTAGGAAATTAGCCCTGAAGTCTCACCCAAGTCACCACAGGACAGTTATGCAAAATGGCTTTCCAATTCTGCCTAGAACCTCCACGCTTCAATGCAGGACTTAAAAGAAATGAAAAGTATATGGAGAATCTGATAAAGATTTTGAAAAATTGAAGGAAGAAAGGGATAGGGCGCCCAACACCACCCTCAGATAGGGCATGGCTTTAGAGCATGCACCAATTGCTGCAGTAGAGCAGTCGAAAAATGAAGAGGACATAATTTTCCCACTAATGTTTTTAAGGAGTTTCCTTTAGAAGGGAAAAGAAATTCAAAGTAGGTGGCTCTTTGGAAAAAAAAGAAATGAAGGTTGTGAAATGTAATACCAGAAAGGTTTTGCTTACCAGAAACCGTAGCTTGATTCCCCCTGCCTTGAGTTTACAACTGCCGCCTCCTTTCCTAAAGATTCACTTCTCATCCTAGTACCAATGTACAGGAGCTAAGCAACTGGAGACTGTGACACAGCACTGAACACAAAGAGTTTATCCCCAAACCCAGAGGTGGGAATTAGGGTGATTTAGAAGTCCTAAAGTACCCATGTCCCCCCAGATTCTCATACAAAGCCACCAAATGCAGGAGGCCTAAGGACTGGTCCTGGAGCAAAAATGACATTTGTCACTAGGCCCCATTTGTCTATTTACACAAGCCCTGGTTTTGCCCCAGTAACCCGACATACATACTCCATCACACACTCCCCCCAACAGGACCCCAGTCTCAAAAAGTATTGTTGGATTTTCCACCCCTGGCAACCAAAGCAGGGAAACTTCCCAGCAGTTGTGATGAGTGAGAGAAGGTGAAAATAAAAGCAATAGACCGATTGTTAAAACTTAAATACTAGAGCTGCCCAAGAGTTAGGCAGCTTCAAGACCTAGTTTCTGTAGTTTTTCCCCTTTCAGGAAAAACAAGATAATGCTCTAAACAAGGAAAATGTCTTTTCCTATCTAGCAGCAGCGTGCACAGGAGTCCAGAAGGCATCTGCTCAGGGGTGGAGTTTCAAGAGGGTGGAGAGAGGAGGGAGGCTGATTACATCACCTTTCAATGCAGCTCCTCCCCCTTGATCAAGTTTCTAGGGCGGCCCTAAGCTCTGGATGGCAAAAGGGGAAGAAAAACAACAAAGAAGCAGGGACGCCATTTTGTAATGAAGAGGAAAACTTGAAAAAAAGCTTTACCAGCTATGCCGGAGCGAGTTACCTTAAAAAACGCCCTTTTTAAGTAAAAAATCAAAACCCAGCCCCCACTCCATCTGAATAATTACCTATTTTGAGTCAGTTAAGAACATTGTGAAAATAAAATCAATTAAAATATTAAAAGAACAATTTTCTGTGGGGAATTGAATTTGCAACTGATTCTGCTACGATCGACCACCCCCCATCTCCTATAAACGTAAAGGGGGGGGACTTGGACCCCTCTCAACAAATAGGGTTGAGGTGGGAGGACAGGAGAAAAATGGGTCAAGACACAACCTGCAACGCCGCTTGGAAGACAAAAGGACAAGGAAAGTCGCCATATTGAAGCAGGGAAGAAAAATATTCCTTTTAACGACACAAATCTTTTAGAAAGCTAGCATTCAATTGCACTAAATGGCTTTAAATATACTCCTGAATTGCACATTTCCCCACCTTTCCACCCTCAATTTAGTATTCCCCCGATCATAAAGTATCAAGTTAAAATGTTAATCACTTTGCTTTTTAAAATAACCTATGCAATTTGCAACAATTACAAAACATTACCACCCCAACTAAAATATCTTGTATGTACTGGAACTAAGATTATATTTTGCCCTGAATTAAGTGTCTTGCAATCTTTATTCCTAGATTGCCACCTATTTTAAACACACAAATAAATCCCAAGCAAATTACATTAAAATTGAGAGGATTTAACAATCATTTAAAGTCATAGCCGGCTATTATTTCTCTCTGCCCATCTCCTTACCCTGCAATCTTTATGTACAGATTGCTTATTAATCTGGCAAATTGAAAGGCGCCCTGCTTGTCTCACACACAAAGAAGTGGGACTTCTGGGCCACAAGATCCACCATCTTTTGTATGTGAGCTCATTAACCCTTCTGAAGACTGCAGCTAGCGAGAGGAAGTTAACCATTCCTCCTTATAAAAAGCAAACACTTATGGCTCTGGCAGTCTGGAAATTGGCTGGATTACCAAGGGTTAACCATAAAAATCCTTACTTTCGGGCCCTCCCTCCACCCTCTCCTTGCCTGCAGCAGCGCAGGGAAGAGGTAGGTGGTAGGGGAGAGAGAACAAGACTGTTTAGATAGACCCAAAGGCCCTTTTTAATGGAGATTAAGTGACCGGCTTGGTCCTTCTCCAGCTCTATGGTCTCATTTCTTCCTCTCATTATTTTTGGTTTCACAACGGGAAACGTTGATTTCTTGTTGCAAGGCTGGTTTTTGAAAATTCGACACTTACTATCCAATTTTTTTGCGACGTCAGCACCTCGGGCTCAGGGGGGGAGGGGGTTAAGATTTTGGAGAAAAAAAAATAAAACAACCAACCAGGACCCAAAACTCAATTATTTGGGGGGCCTCATTGGATCAAAAAGTCTCTTAAAAAAAATAAAGGCCAATTCAGTATTCATAGTCCCCCCCACCCAACTCCATTTAGGGAGGGGGGTCGTAGAAAAAAAGTTCTGAGTGGATTCAAAAAAGTAACCGCTGGATGAGTGAATTTGGGTGGGTTTGGGAAGGGAGGGTGGTTGATTATTTTTGAAGTTATGTGGTGACGGTCCTTCGGTCACGGATTTCAAGTCCCAAGCAGCGTGGGCTGGTGGGGTGGGCAAGATAGGTGGGAAGGGACAGAAGACACAAGTGGTTGGGCTGGTGGCTGCTCTTTTCCCTTTCCCCCCTCTCAGGATCCTTTCAAGGGCTTAGATGTTGCTGCGGCTTGTTTCTTTTTCCTCGTGGCCGGCCTGTCTTTCTCCGAGAGAATTCAAACCTGGGATAAAAGGAACACAAGGGAGAAAGATATAATCAATACGGGATGCTTTTCGAGACTCCGGAGTGACACCTTTGTTTACCCAAACACTTTCACGCCTCGCCCCGAACGCAGCCGCTTTAAGCCCTGGCGCCCCCCGGAATCCGTACATCACCCCTCTCCCAGGACAAAACTCTCGGCAAAAATCTTACACTCTAACCGACAACACACCGAAACTTACCTCTAAACGAACCCCAGAATGGCGGACGCCCGCTCGGGCGGAGTCTTTTATATGCGGACACCGCCCAACGCGCCTAAACGTGCTGGTGAAACGCCCTTGTCGCGAGACATTGTGCGCGAGGCGTGAATTCATTGGCTAACCCGAAAGACAACTCGCCAGCCGATTGGCTATCCTCCTCAGACTTCGCTCGGCCCCTTCCCCCCGGCTCCTTCTTCCGCCTCCTTCATGACCCCCCCCATCGCGTGCGCGTGACCGAAGGATTTAGCACTTCCCTTTCCTCTGCCTCCACCACTTCCGCTCCCCAGAACATTTCTCACCCCGGGTTGGTAGAAGCGGGACGGCGCATGCGCATTGAGAGGCTCTCGGTCAAAATAACCTTCAAAATTGCTTAAAAGGCAAAGTCTACAGATGCGATCTAAGATTCGTAGTGACTGGTTCAGCAAAAAAGCAATTTTGAGGCCGAATTCGATTGTGACGCAGTTGAAATTGACTTCTTCCCTTGACCCCCACCCTCTTCACGTTTCCGCCCTGACGCAAACGCGCTGCCGTCGTCCGCACTGCGGGCTCGTCCCAGGCCCTACCCGCGGCTGTTTCCCGGAGCATGCGCGATTGCGCTTCCGACCAAACCTCTTTGGGCGTGCGTCAAGATGGCGGCCTCCGTCTTGAATGTGCTGCTGAGGCGCCTGCCTGTTCTTTCGCCCTTCAGAGGTGCCTACGGAGTTCAGGTAACTCCTTGGAGCACATTTTGCACAACCCCAATTTAGTTACACCTTCTCTAGGTCGTCGCTCAGTGGTGAGACTCCAGGAGCGGAGACCTTCCCTAGTGTTTATGCCTCGGCGGTTTAGTCAAAACGTTGCTTCCACCACCCTCCCTTCTCGATCCTGTGCCCATTTTCTCAGCCTGACCCAGGGTTAGATGTCATCCTCTTTCCAAGTTAACATCTTGGCTAAATACGTAGATGAAGGACAGGACCCCTTGTTCATGCATAACCAACCCTTAACAATGCAAGCAGTTTCTAAATCTGTGCTGTCCTTGAGTGCCCGGGGGGGTTCTACCAGTTCTGCTCTTTCCCAGTAAAGCCAGGATACATTCTCACGGCCTGGGGACCAGTTTTCTCAACTCTGTCTCACAAAATCACTTTGTTACTAGAGCATACATGAGAGCTTAACTCAGTCATTTGGATTGAAGTTTCCCTCCAGCCTCACGTACTCACCACCCTGGAGGTTCTTGGTAGGGTAGGGCAGGGCAGGTTCTTGGCAGGGCAGGGTGAGATAGGAAGGCTTGCCCAGCTGCCACTCCCTAAAGTGGGACTGCAGAGTGGCGACAGGGGCCACCACAGAGTTAATAATAGGCAAGGTGGCTTTAAAGCTAGCGTTAGGACTCAAGTTTGTTCTTCCCTGTGGAATGTTGATCTTAAACGTTTTATAAGGCTGGGCAACTCTGATTTAAGAATGGGTTAGAGACTCACCTGTCCTATACATTCCTTCTTTGCCCCGACATCTTCCAAGAAGCTACACAACCTTTCTTCCTTTTCCTCCGCAGATTAAATTCATCAGAAAAAAGGCAGAAAAACTTTATATGTGTCAAGTTTTAAGTTGTCTTCTCTAATAAGATGATGTAGGGGCAGGCTGGGCACTGAGCAGGTTATCTATGATCCAGCAGACGGGTAAAGGAGAGTCTTGGAGCCCTCTGTGGCTTTCTCAGGCTTTTTATTGAGCTTTACATGCATCGCAGCAACCAGGTACATGGCAGGCAGAAGGGCCAGGAGGCCAGTAGGCCCCCAAGCCCCCGGCAGGACTTCACTCTGGGCTTCTCTGGCTTCTTTGCCGGGTCTCTCTCCTGCCTCTCCTGCTTCATCTTCTCTTGGTGACTATCTCAATACACCTCCCATGGCCCACAGAAGTAAGGAAGGCAGCTTGCAACAATATAACAACTGCAGGTGCCCCATCAGGCAGGGCACTCCTTATGGTGGGAGGGCAGAAAAGCCTGAAAACCATTTACCTTACAGATGGCACCCAAGTCGCCTATCCTAATTGTTTCCTAACATTAGCTTCTGTTTCAGGATCTGGTTGGAGAGAGGGAGTGACTGTTGATAATGTTGATTTAATCCCAGCAAAAATACTACCTTCTATTATATTCCTGATGTTCTGTTAACTAATGGGTGTGTGTTCCCCTTCTACCCAAGGTGTGGGCAGCAAAAACAGTCATGCCCCTTCCTTAAATGCATTCTTTCATTTTCCCTTTTTCCTTTATAGGTTCCCCACCGGAATCTTTGTTCCAAAGCCCCCCCTGAGGAAGAGTCTTTGCCTTCACTTCCCATTTCCCCTTATAAGGATGAACCCTGGAAATATCTGGAGTCAGAAGGTACTTTAAATGGGAAAGGGAGGTGACAGTGGGGTCTGAAATTAGTGGACACAGATGCCTTCACCAACAAATAACTTGTGTGGTCTTTCAGAATACCAGAGCCGCTATGGTTCTCGTCCTGTCTGGGCTGACTACCGTCGCAACCACAAAGGTGGAGTACCCCCACAACGGACTCGAAAGTCATGTATTGTGAGTTTCTGAGGGTGACACATAGATGGGATGTGAAGTGGGGGTGGAGGCCATAGTGACAGAGCAGCAACACTTTTTTCTGATAGTCCTTGAACATTTTCACCTCCAGCTTCTTCTCTTTACAGCGTAAAGATAAAGTTGCTGGGAACCCCTGCCCCATCTGCCGGGATCACAAGTTGCATGTTGACTTTAGGGTAAGGAGGATCTTGTTCTCTAGGATAATGATTTAGAAGCTCATTGCAGTGCTAAAGACGTGACTGTGGGTGCCCTACTCTTCATATCCCAGCACTCCCATAATCTGTTTTGTACTGACTTTCTAGTAATGTAGTAACATTTGTCTTGTCAGCCTTTTTTTTTTTTAAAGATTTATTTTTATTTACTTATCCATAAAACAACTGGGGTGTAGGCCAGAGGTGCAAAGAGTGAGAGGATTCAACAGAGACACAGTGGGGAGCAGAGCAGGCGCATTGACTGAAATAACATTGCTGAGGGGAGCAGTGGGCGAATCCAGAGAGGTCTGCTGCGCAATGTGGGTAGCTCCCTGGCTGCAGAGGCTGAGGATAACTTCACATTGCTGTGCTTAACCCCTTGAGCCACCAGGGCGGGGGGCTCAAAAACCTTTTAAAGGTGATAATGGGATCGTGCTTTTCTGAGCTTGTAGTGAAGGTGTTAAGAGTAGAAGCTGAATGAGTAGTCATCAGGGAACCTGGAGGGCATTTGTGTGTGAGCAGCTGGGGTGTCTGATTGCTCTCCAGCGCCTTCTGACACAAGTTGTAGAGAGTTCTAGTGGACAGCTTCTCAATTTCAACTGCGTATGATTGGTCATAAAAAGACATAACCAATTGTATAGTCTACAATCACTTGCATAACTAGGAGAGAGAGAAAGATTACAAATTGAATAGTGCAGATCATTCTCCCTACCACCCCATTCCCCAAGTGTGCCTGCTTTTACCTTGGGAATCTGACCTCCTGTGATTAGCCTGGTGGGTAATTAAAATTGTAAAATTTATCTTTTTTTTTTTAAGATTTATTTTTATTTAGTTATGCATACAAGAACCGTGGTGTAAGTCAGAGGTGTGTGGGGTAGGGGGTGGGGGAGAGGATTCACCAGAGACAGAGTGAGGGGCAGACCAGACATGTCTTCTGAAATACATTATTAAGGGGAGCAGTGGGTGACACGAGAGAGGTCTGCGCCATGTGGGTCAGCTCCCTGGCCGGGGATTGAACTCATGTTGCATGTTGGTGATAGCTTGATATTGCTAAGACTTAATCCCTTGTGCCACCGGGGCAGCCCTGTAAAATTAATCTTGATAAATGTCAATGTATTGTATATAGCATGCTGTTTGTTTATACGTTAATCATTTATACATGTTCAATACAACATGTGCTGCATTTTCTGTGATTTCAGTGATTGCCAATTGAATGTCCCCATTTTTTTTGCACAAAGGACCCCTGTAGAAGAGAGTTCTATGAGTCTTAGTGACAGAACGTAGGATGTGCATGTATGGTAGTTGGAAGGCAAGGAAATGGGAAAAACTTGCGGAGTTTTCGAAAATGTCTTCAGTGAAATGATGGCTCTAATTTGGGACATGAAGGCAGGTAGCAGCTGCAGCACCTCAAGGGGGCAGGTCACCTTGTGGGTGGGTAGGGATGGATGGTGGACTTTCAGTCTCTAAGGGTCTTTATCTCCCCGTTCTCTCATGTTCTCCACCACTCTCCTCCACAGAATGTGAAGCTCTTGGAACAGTTTGTCTGCGCCCACACAGGCATCATCTTCCATGCTCCTTACACAGGTCAGCCCAGTTTCCTACCACCAACAGACCAGCACTTGTTTATTTAGTCAGACCAAGGGTATTTGTTGGGTGGCTCCTACTTAGGGCATAAAAAGCGTGATTGAGCTCTTTTGGAATTTTTGGTTTCATGGAGATCTTCACAGACTAAAACAATTACATGTGGATAAAAGATACAGGCAAGTATCAATGTAAACAAACTACTGAAATGTAATTCTTAAAAGATAAATGGTGGTGGGTCTCCCCCGTGGCGCAGCGGTTGAGCGCTGGGTTGCGAAGCTGCCTGCAGCCTCTGTGGCGCCGGTTCGATCCCCGGCTGCTCCCCGGCCACCGGAGGAGGGTCCCACATGGTGCGCAGACCTCTCCTGCTGCCCGCTGCTCCCCTCAGCAGTGTGCTTCGGTCCTTCTGCCTGCTCTGCTCCCCGCTCTGGCTCTGGTGAATTCTCTCACCCTCCCGCGCTTCTGACTGTACCCAGTGCTTGTATAAAAACAAAAAAAAGCAAAAACAAAAAAAAAAAGATAAATGGTGGTGGGCCTCCCCGGTGGCGCAGCGGTTGAGCGCTGGGTTGCAAAGCTGCCCGCGGCCTCTGCGGCGCCGGTTCTATCCCCAGTTGCTCCCCTGCCACCGGAGGAGGGTCCCACATAGCGCGCAGACCTGTCCTGCCGCCCGCTGCTCCCCTCAGCAGTGTACTTCGGTCCTTCTGCCTGTTCTGCTCCCTGCTCTGGCTCTGGTGAATTCTCTCACCCTCCCGTCCTTCTGATTATACCCAGTGCATGTATAAACAAAACAAACAAATAAATAAATAAATAACATGCCTCTATAAAAACAAACAAACAAAAAAAAAATTAAAAAAAAAAAGATAAATGGTGGTGACTCTTGCCTTTCTATATGGTTTCTTCACTTTTCCAAAAGTCCTGCTCATAAATTGGCGATCATGCCAATTAACATTGCAGTTGAGTTTCTCAGGTTTGGTTTTGTAAGCTTAACAAATTCAGAATTACATCTATTTCTTACCTGTGATCCCAGGCCAGTTCTGACTCACTGCTGTGTCTGTGTGTTTTCATATTATCTACAATCACTTCCAGGCTATATAGTAGCAAAGTTTAGTGGTTGAGACAGAGACTGTAGGACCCACACAACCTAACATACGGTGTTACACAGAAAATCTAGCCAACCCCTCCTCTAAAGCAAGACACACTGGCAAAGAATCATCTGAATCCCCCATTTGTGGGTGGCAGCAGGGCCAGTGGAATTTATAAGTCTAGCTGTGAAAGGGACCAGTCTCTTTCAGATGGCCCTTCCCAGATCTGAAATCCTCTCTTCTTTATTGAATCTTTCTCTGGATTGTTAGACTCAACCCTTTAATTAACCATACTTGCGCTTTCATTTGTGATCTCCCTGTCTTGGAGCCTGTACCATTAAATGACTTCTCTATAGTGGCCACATAGTGGCTAGACACTCCTATGTCTTCAGCTTAGCTCTCAGGGACAGAGAGAGGGGAGACTTCCCATGAGGCAGATGAGGAAACAGGCCCACGGAGCATCAAGGGACTAGGATCATTAGGTAGAGTCAGGTCTTCTAAATCCAGCTCTTTTTTTTTTTTCTTAAAGATTTATTTGTTTATGCATATAAGAACTGGGGTACAGGCCAGAGGTGGGTGGGGCGTGTGAGAGGATTCACCTGAGACAGAGTGGGGAGCAGAATAGGCAGGCAAGTCAGGAGAGGTCTGCTGCGCCATGTGGGTCACCCCCCAATGGCCGGGGACCGAACTCATGCTGCAGTAGCTGTGAATTGCTTCCTAGTGCTGTGCTTAACCCCTTGTGCTACTAGGGAGGCCTCCCAGCTCTTTATCACTATGTAGAAGCAGTTGTGTTCTTTAGTTACTGTGCTTTATGGAACCAGCACTGAGTTATTTTTTTTCCTCACATAGGGGTCTGTATGAAGCAGCACAAGAAGTTGACCCAGGCCATCCAGAAAGCCAGGGATCATGGTAAGCATGAGATGGCCACAGGGCACTTTTGTTAGGCATAAAGGAGGTGAATTAGGGTTGAAGGGGGTGGATATCTGAGAAGATAGCACCCTAGCACACACCATGTTCTTCTGAGTCTCTTCTGTCGTCATTCCACTGTCCTGTTCCCTCTCCTGTCTCTCACCTTACTATTACCCTTCCCCTTATTCCTCCTCTCTCCTTTCTCTCCCCTCTTGTTTTACACCTATTAGTCCCAGTGCCATAGCGAAGTCATAGGAGAATCTGTGTATTAGGTCCTGGTGATCTCTTTTCACAATTTAGGAAAAGGTACCCCTCCACTAGAGCAGATGCAGCTCCTTAGGTCTGGTGCTGGGCAGTGTGACTTGGCAGGCAAGAGCCCAGGCTTGTCAGCCCACACTTCCCCCACTTGGCCAGGTGATTTGGTGCATTGTACTGCATGCATTAATGTACTCAGTGAGTGGGCTCTCCCTCCCATTGTAGGTCACTTTCTTCACTGTCTGTGTTAATCTGAATTACCCTCTCCTGCCACTCCCATCCCACAATTGCTTTTTTTTTTTTTTTTTTTTTAATCCTCTAGGTTTCCTCAGTTACCACATTCCCCAGGTTGAACCTCGGGACCTTGACTTCAGCACCTCTCATGGAGCTGTCAGTGCTACTCCGCCAGCCCCCACCCTGGTTTCAGGTGATCCCTGGTACCCATGGTACAGCTGGAAACAGCCACCAGAGAGAGAGCTGGCCCGCCTTCGCCGGCTCTATCAGGGTCATCTCAAAGAAGAGAGTGGCCCCCCACCTGAGTCAATGCCCCAAGTGCCCCTCACAACCCCAGCTGAAGCCTCCTCCACTGAGCAGGAGGGCCCCCAGAGTGCTCTGTCCTCCACTGAGCAGGCAGGCCCCCAGAGTGCTCTGTAGGAGGAGCTGTTGAGTGGGAAGGGAGCCCAAGGGGTTATGAGATCATGCCGAGGAATTTCATGATGAGATTTCACCCTGAAAAGTTGTAGCTGTTTTGTGGGCAGTGGCAGGCCTAGGGCCAGAGAAAGGAAATGATGGCTGGTGAAGGCGATAAATACATCTGAGGCCAAGGGAGGACAGTACAAATGTACATGGGAAACCCCAACCCCTGCATATTGTAAATAGATGGGCCGAACGTTCTGTTGCTGTTTCAGACTTCTGCCAAGTCCACTTTTCTACAATAAACTGTATCTCCTGTGTCTCTGCTGTTTCAGATGAATGCCATTCCTCTGGGGGGAGCATGTGGGAGACAGGTGGTCAGGCTTGAGCCAACCCCACCACTGAAGGTTGGGACCAGAGCCACCTGAAATGAGCAGCGTGCATTCTGTCCCGCTCTCCTTCATGGGCCCCGTGCCCAGGCAGTGTTCCCACTCAACCTCGCCACCCCCCAGTTAAGGGCTAAAGGGTTGGAGAATGAGACTAGGCCTAGGGAAAAATGCGTTGCTATGGCACTCACTGCCACTGGGGATGGAGACGCGGGGCGTGGCCTTGCTGAAGGACAGCTGCTCTGGCTTGGAGACGGGTCTCCAGGGCCGCCTGCTAGGGTGCTGGGTGGGAGAAAAGGGATAGGGGGGCACCCCCACTAGGGGCGGGCATTGGGCTGAGGGCGCGGAAAAGAAGACTCCGAAGGGCGGGGCGGAAGTGACGCCTCGCGGGGCGGGTCCGGCCGCGCACAATGGGCCATGGAGTTCCCGTTCGATGTGGACGCGCTGCTCCCGGAGCGGATCACGGTGCTGGACCAGCACCTGCGGCCCCCAGCCCGCCGACCCGGAACCACAACGCCGGCCCGGTGACATCTCAAACCTGCCCCACGGCCCTTCTCCCCTGGTTCCTCTGGAAACCTGGCCCAGGCACCACGCCCCCTTCTCACTCTCTAGCGGCCGCTCCTTTTTATGTCCTGGCTCGCCCTTTTGGTGACCCTTCACCTCAGACCCAGTGGGGTTGATACGTGTTTGGATCTGTGACCATTCACCTCCAGGCCCAGTATGTGGTCCCAACCAAAGGATGTGGTTGCCCGGACCGTCCTGACTCCCCATAAGAATCTCTAGGGAGGCGGGAGTGTACCAGGCTGACAGGAGGTGCGGCTTCAGGTTGGGTCCCGGGGGTGGGGTGGAAACCAGAGAGGAGGACACCAAGGTAAAGTCACAGAGCCTTAAGTCCTGAACCTAGATTTGGATTGGGGCTCAGGTTTCCAGGGGGTCTTTGCCTAGCGACCCTCTAATTCAGCACCTGACTTTTTATCTCCTTTCTTTTTATAGTATTGATCTGCAGCAGCAAATCATGACTATTGTAGACGAACTGGGCAAGGCTTCTGCTAAGGTACTGTGGAGTCTTTAGATGGAGTAAAGGGGAGGCCTCTCTGGGGACAAGATAAGGAGGCCTGTGTCTTTTGGAAGGGACCTGCAGAAAGTCTGTCTTCTCCTCTCTGGCAGGCCCAGCATCTTCCTGCTCCCATCACTAGTGCGTCGAGGATGCAGAGTAACCGCCACGTCATGTATGTGCTCAAAGACACTTCAGCGCGACCGTGAGTGCCAGATGCTCTTCTGTTGTACTTAATTCCTCTCTCCCCCAGCCCTGCTCTCTCTTTTCGACCTACCATTTCCAGCTGGTTCATTTTCCCCATCCTACAGGGCTGGAAAAGGAGCCATTGTTGGCTTCCTCAAAGTTGGATACAAGAAACTCTTTGTACTGGTAAGTGTTACGAGAAATTGAATTCCTGTGCCTTGGTTCCTGAGAACAAGAAGATTGCGTGGAGATTGGCTGGAGGTGGCAACGTGTCTGGGTCCTCAAAGGTATTTGTTGTTCTTCACTTGTTAGGATGACCGGGAGGCTCACAATGAGGTAGAACCATTGTGCATCCTAGACTTTTACATCCATGAATCACTTCAACGCCATGGCCATGGGCGAGAACTCTTCCAGCATATGTTGCAGGTATCACTTATCTCTTCATCAGTCTGTCCAAAATGAGATCAAAGACCCTTTTCCCTAAAACCTTCCAGAGTCCATGCATCCCACCCTCCAGCCCCCATGGTCCCATATCCTCCCATTCCCTCCCCAGGCTCACGGGTTTCTCTTGGCATGCTCTCTCCACATCTCCTACCCTGAGTCTCCTGTTCCCTGCAGAAGGAGCGAGTTGAACCACACCAACTAGCCATTGACCGGCCCTCACAGAAGCTACTGAAGTTCCTGAATAAACACTACAACCTAGAGACCACAGTTCCGCAGGTTAGAGATTTCAGAGGGTGTAGCCTTGCTGAGTGACCCCATCAAATTTATTATCTGGGGACAAAAAAGGGGTACCTTCCAAGGACTCCATATTCCCCATTATGTGTGATTTTCCTAAGCTCTCTTTCATTTATGGTATCATCTTTCATCATCTTTCATCATCTTTTCATCTTTCATTCATCTATTTTGAGTCTTCATGTATTTTGTACACCTGATAATGTTTGTGCACTGAATATAGCCAGCTCACTTCCTTGCATAGGCCACTCTGTAATCAATCAACGTTTAAAAGCCCAGAATAGGGGCCTCCCTGGTGGCACAGCAGGTTGAGCGCTGCGCTGTGAAGCTGTCCTCAGCCTCTGCAGTGCAGGCTCGATCCCGGCCTGCCAGGGACATACCCACATGGCGCGGTAGACTTCTGCTCACCCGATGCTCCCTTCAGCAGTGTATTTCGGTCAGTCTGCCTATCAGCCTCTGGTGAATTCTCTCACCCTCCCGCACATCTGGCCTGTACACCAGTTCTTGAATAAATAAATAAATCTTTAAAAAAAATAAAATAAAAGCCCAGAATAATATACAATCCCTGACCTCAGGGAGCTTTGGTTTAAAATAGGAAGGTGGTTTGTTAAAAAATGTAATATAATGTTAACTAATGCTGCTAGTCATTCAACAAATATTTATTGAGCACCTGACACTGTTCTCTGGGCACTAGGAATATTTATTCAACAAGACAGATAAAAGCCTATTGTTGGGCTTATGTTCTAATTGGGGAGCCAACATAATTAACAATTATATGCTATGGTTGATCATGATAAGTGCTCTGAAAAATGAGAACAAGCCTGGGAGTGCCGCGGTGGGATGGGAGTGTGTGGGATTGCAACTTTTAGTGGGATAAGCATGGAAGGCCTCACTGAGAAAGTGTTATTGAGCAATAACTTACAGGTGAGAGCGAGAATCGACTATACCTGGGAGGAGAGCATCCTAGGCAGAGAGAATGGCTAGTGCACAGGCCGTGAGGGGAGAGGGCGCCTGCTTGAGTGAACTGTCTGATGTGCCTAGAGCAGCATGAGGTGGGGGTGGGGCAGTGGTAGATGAGGTCAGTCACAGCAGTGACAAAGAAGAAAGGCATTTCAGGCCTAACAGGCAAAGACTTTGACTTTTACTCTAAGTGAAAAAAGCAGAGCTGGGCCTCCCCGGTGGCACAGTGGTTGAGCGCTGGGTTGTGAAGCTGCCCGCAGCCTCTGTAGCACCGGTTCGATCTCCGGCTGCTCCCCGGCCACCGAAGGAGGGTCCCACATGGCGCGCAGACCTCTCCTGCCGCCCGCTGCTCCCCTCAGCAGTGTACTTGGGTCCTTCTGCCTGCTCTGCTCCCCGCTCTGGCTCTGGTGAATTCTCTCACCCTCCCACGCTTCTGACTATACACAGTGTTTGTATAAATAAATAAAAATAAATCTTTAAAAAAAAAGAAAGAAAGAAAAAAGCAGAGCTATCACAGGCATTTGAGCAGTGGGGTGATATGATCTGATTTACATTTAATCAAACCACTTTGTTGAGAATAGAAGTAGCAGAGCAAGGCAGAAGTAAGTAGTCCAGTTAGGAAGCAACAATCCCCGTGAAAGATGGTGTGACTCAGACCAAGATGGTAGCAGCAGGGGTGGTAAGGAGTAGCCAAATTTTAAATATTTTGAAGTTAAAGCAATTAAAATTTCCTGATAGGTTATATGTGGGGAAGAGGTAGTTAAGAAAGCCCCAGAGTTGTTGGCGTGAGCAGTGAGAAGGACAGTGTTGCATTAACTCTGATGGTAAGTGGAGCAGTTTTGGGGGAAATAGTAGGAATCCACTTTGATTATGTTAATTGGAGAGGTCTGTGATAAGTCTGTGTTGAGTGTTGAGTGGCTAGCTGGGTACTTCTTTGGGAGTTGAGACAAAAGGTTTGGATGGGGAGTTTTCAGCATGCGTGCAGTATCGAAAGCAGTGAGGATATCACCAGGGAGTGACTATAGAGAAGTTGGCTCAGGCACTTGAACCAGTGGACACTCTTTTAAGAGATCGAGGAGGAGAGGTAGAAGTGCAGCTAAGGAGTTACTGGTGAAATAGATGAAAATTTACAAGGTGACCTGGAAAGCCAGTGGAGAAAGTGTTTCACGGATGAAGGAATGGTTACTGAGTCAAACGCTGCTATCATTGAGGTGAGAGGAAGTCTGGGAAGTGACTGCTGGGTTTACATGCCTGCGGGTCCTGACAGTGATTTTGGTGCAGTGGCAGGTGGAAACCTGATAATGAATGTGTTTAGGGAAATGAGAAGCCAAGAACTGGACATAGTAAGAATAGGTCTCTCTTAAATGCAGTTTGAAGAGGAACCAAGAAATAGAGCACAAGTAGAGGGGGAAGTGGATCAAGCCAGGGTTCATTCTTTCCACTGGAAGATCTAACGCATAAGACTCAGTTGAGAGAAAACCATGTCAGAGAATGTGGGGAGAACTGCTGAAACGGTGTCTGTGAGTGGGCAGGAAGGGTTGGGATTGGGGTGACATGTTAGCCTTGGGGAGGAGCAGGGATGTGACTCCATTGTAACATGATTTGATTGATGTGATTACAGAGGAGGCATAAGGATGTGGGGTAAAGAAAGCCTTGTCTTATGTTTCGTCTTGAGAAGTGTCTGGGGACTGAGTGGGCGGGCCAGAATGCCTTTCATGTGGAGGAACCAGCATGAGCAAAGACAGGAAAACACTACCTACCTTTCTGGGCACTGCAAGCAGTTAGGTGTGGCTGACTGCTGGCCTGTGCTTGTTGGGGGATGAGGGTGGGTGAGGAGACATTATGGCAGGTTCTCCTTAGCCTGTTCTCCACGGGTATGTTTCCATTTAGATGGCAAGAGTAGTGGAAGGAGCACAGTATTCAGCATCAAACGTGTTACCCAGGGAACTTGTAATAGCAGAGCAGTGTAGTGAAAATAAAATTGACTGTTTCATGAGTTCTCTGTAGTATGTATGCATTATCTCAGTGGGTCCTCTCACATCTCTTTAAGGTCTATGCTTTCTTTTAAATGTTAGATCAATGCTTTTTTTTTTTTAAGATTTTATTTATGCATACAAGAACTGGGGTGTAGTCCAGAGCTGTAGGGGGAAAGAGGATTTACCAGAGACAGAGTGGGAAGCAGAATAGGCGGATCAACTGAACTACACTGCTGAGGGGAGCAGCGGGTGAGATAGGAGAGGTCTGCTCCATGTGGGTAGCTCCCTGGCTAGGGATCAAACTCATGCTGCTGTGGCTGGTGGTAGCTTGATAGTACTGAGACTTCAACCCCTGCACCAGGGAGGCCCAGAGGTCTGTGCTATTTTTGACCCCATTTGGGGTTTATACAGATTAGATTAGTCATTTGACCAAGTCCACACTGTTAAAAAGTATAGAGTTCACATTTGAACCAAAGCCCCCTCTTCATGGCTACACAGTATACCTGGCTGCAGCTAGAATCAAGATTCTGGGGTTTGAGGGCCTCTCTGGTACTATGGCCTGAGTTTGATCCCCAATCCCACCAGGGAGCTAACCCACAGGGTGCAGCAAACCTCTCCTATCTCGCCTGCTCCCCTCAGCAGTGTATTTCAATATATCGGCCTGTTCTGCTCCCCACTGTCTCTGGTAAATCCTCTCACCTCCCCCCGCCCCCCACACCTCTGCCCTACACCCCAGTTCTTCTACACAAAAATAAATCGAAAATCTTTAAAAAAAAAAAAAGAGAGAGCAAGATTGTCTGGAGCTTGAGGCCCATCTAGCCGCTTATAGCTACTTCACTTTTGGCAAGTAGGTCTTCACGTCTTTCCTCCCTCCCTCCATGAAAAAAGTTTAATACAAAATTCAAAATTCACGTAAATGATAAGTGATCAAAATCAAAGATCTTTGTCTTGATAAGGATTCACGTCTTGTATTTTCTTTAACTTATCTTGCTGTTTCCCTCTTTCCCCACCCCCTGCTTTTCTGTTACTTTCCCCCATCTGTCCAGTCTTGGTTATATTGACCCATCCCTTTCTATCCTCCCACGCCCCACCAGTGATTTACTCCTACACAAGCTAAGATGGCTGCTATTAAACTGTTTAACTTTGCAGACTTTCACTTTTAAAATAGTAACTCCAAGGATTGTTGGGCAGGCCAAATTGAATGTGATAATAAAATAAAATCACTCTCAAATGATCAATAACTCGATTATGGAAGTGGCCTTCTGTCCTCCAGCATATCTTTCCCCGATAGCTGCTACTTAAATCTTAGATTTGATGGGGGGAAAAAATCTAACTTTTCCTTATTATTTGTAGAATTAAGCCATTTGGCCTCATGAAGGTGTTTTGTTTTGAGGTTTTGGTTTTGATTTTGGTTTTGTTGGTTTGGGGTGTCTTGCTTTCCCTGTCATTCTGTCCATTATGTCTCCATTACCCTGGAGCCTGAGAGAACTTAAAAGTTGAGTCAGGATTTTTTGTGTGTGTATGTGTGGAAGAACTGGGGTATAGGCCAGAGGTGTTGGGGGTGAGAGGATTCACCAGAGACCGAGTAGGGAGCACTACAGGCCAATTTACTGAAATACACTGCCAGGGGGAACAGTGGGCACGACAGAAGAGGCCTGCTGCCCCTATGTGGGTTAGCTCCCTCCCCAGGGATCGAACTCAGGCTGTAGCAGTGATAGCACTGAGCCTTAACCCCTAGGCCACCAGGGATTATTATTTTTTTTTTTTAAATTATTTATTTATACAATCACTGGGTACAGTCAGAAGTGCGGGAGGGTGAGAGAATTCACCAGAGCCAGAGCGGGGAGCAGAGCAGGCAGAAGGACCGAGGTACACTGCTGAGGGGAGCAGCGGGCGGCAGGAGAGGTCTGCATGCCATGTAGGACCCTCCTCCGGTGGCCGGGAGCAGCCGGGAATAGAACCGGCGCTGCAGAGGCTGCGGGCAGCTTCGCAACCCAGTGCTCAACCGCTGCGCCACCAGGGAGGCCCTCCAGGGATTATTAAATAATCAATTCCTCTTTCCCCAGCCCCTGTTAACCACTAATCTCTCTGTGAAGTAGCTTATTCTGGACATTTTATATAAATGGAATCATGATAAACAGTCTTTGTGTTTGGCTTTTACTTAGCATAATGTTTTCACAGGGTTCATCCAGTTTGTAGTACGTTACCAGATCTCATTCCTTTTTATGGTAGGATAATGTTCCATTATGTGGCTATACCACATTTTAGTCCATTTATCAACTGATATTTGATGGTTTCTGTTTTTTGACTGTTAGGAGTAATATGCTATAAGCATTCATGTGCAAGATATTTTTTAAGTTTTATTTATTTATGAATACTAGAACTGGGATGTAGGTCAGAGGTGCAGGAGTGAGGGGATGGGGAGGCAAGAGGATTCACCAGAGACACAGTGGGGAGCAGAACAGGCAGATCTACTGAAACATACGGCTGAGGGGAGCAGCGGGTGAAACAGGAGAGGTCTGCTGCACCATGTGGGTTAGCTCCATGGCGGGGAATCGAACTCAGGCCACATTTTTTTTTTTTTAATAGAGGCATGTTTTATTTATTTGTTTATTTGTTTGTTTGTTTTGTTTATACATGCACTGGGTACAGTCAGAAGCGCGGGAGGGTGAGAGAATTCACCAGAGCCAGAGCAAGGAACAGAACAGGCAGAAGGACCAAAGTACACTGCTGAGGGGAACAGCGGGTAGCAGGAGAGGTCTGCGTGCCATATGGGACCCTCCTCCGGTGGCCGGGAAGCAGCCGGGGATCGAACCGGCTCCGCAGAGGCCGCGGGCAGCTTCGCAACCCAGCGCTCAACCGCTGCACCACCGGGGAGGCCCTCAGGCCACTTTTTGAGGAACTGACATGCTATTTTGCCACAGTCACTGCAGTGTTTTTCACCTCCCCCCAGCAGTGAGGCTTCAATTTCTTGATAGCTATCTTAACAGGCATGAAGTAGCATGTCTTCTAGTTTTGATTTGCGTTTCCCTAATGACTCATGGTGTTGAGCATAATTTTAAATGCTTATGGACATTTGTATGTCAACTTTTAAGAAATGTTTATTCAAGTTCAGTGTCCATTTTTAAATTGTGTTCTCTACCCATGAGTTGGAAGAGTTCTTTATATATTTTAGATACAACAGTCATCAGATGTATGATTTGAAAATACTTTCTACTGTTTTGTGGGTTTCTTTTCATTTTCTCAGTGGTGTCTTCTGAAGTACAAAAGTTTTTACTTTTGATGAAGTTCAGTTTATTTTTTTTCCTTTCATTGCTTGTGTTTTGGTGTAATTTTATTTTTTATTAAATATTTATTTATGCATGCAAGAGCTGGAGTACAGGCGGGGGGGGGCAGGGATGAGAGGATTCATTAGAGACAGAGTGGGGAACAGAACAGGCAGATTGACTGAAATACACTGCTGAGGGGAGCAGCGGGCGAATCAGGAGAGGTCTGCTGTGCCATGTGTGTTGTTCCCTGGCCAGCTGGGGATTTGAACTCGTGCTGCAGTGTCTGCGGACACCTTCATAGGTTGTGTCTTAACCCCTTGTGCTACCAGGGAGGCCCTGTTGTAATTTTAAAGAAATCATTGCCTAATCTAAGGTCATAAAGATTTTGCCCTTATGTTTTCTTCTAAGAGTTTCTATTTTAGCTCTTACATTAGAACTTTGATCGATTTTTAGTGATTTTCTCTATGAAATGGGTTAGTGGTACAAATTCATTATCTTGTATGTGGATATTCAGTTGTCTAAGTACAACGGTTCTTTGACCATGCAGTGTTGCAAATCAATTGACCATAGATACATGAGTTTATTTCTATTGATAGATTTGCTTCATACCATTGGCCTATGTATCTATCCTTAGGCCTCACCATACCATTTTGATTACTATAGCTTTGTAGTAAGTTTTGAAATCAAGAAATGTGTGTATCCTTTTCCTTCTTTTTCAGAATTTTGACTATTCAAGGTCTGTTACAATTCCTTATCAACCTTAAGATCAGATTGCCAAGGTCTGAATTTTTTACTAAGTCTGTCAACAAGGAAGGCTGACTTTCATTCTATTCTGTTCACTATAGGTTATCTAGCATAGGATTCTATACCCACATGTTCTGAGTAGCAGAATGAACAACTGTATTTTGCTTGTTTCATATTATAGGTGAACAACTTTGTGATCTTTGAAGGCTTCTTTGCCCATCAACATCGTAAGTTTTTTCACCTTGTGTATGTTGGTCAAGTAGCTGGGGTGAGGGGAAGGAAAGAGGTGGATTCTTTCTCCCATTGGCCCCCTCACTCAGGGGCACCACCGCTTCCTTCCTCACAGGGCCCTCTGCTCCCTCTCTGAGGGCAACTCGACATTCTCGCGCTGCTGCAGTCGATCCTACGCCCCCTGGTAAAGCTGATTGGATGGGTGGACTGTAGTGACGTGATGGCTAGTTACTCTGGAGACCAGATCCAGCTCAGTGTGATATGTGGGCCATATTGGAGAATTCTAAAGCCACCCAAGTCTCTAGCACTTATTGCCCATTAGCCTTTGTCCTCAGGGGAGCTCGGTGCACTTGATACATGTCAACTAAGTTTTAACTAAGCAAGGGGAGCCTGTTTGATGATTAATGTTGATGGAGCCTCTTGTTGCTTTCAGGTCCATCAAAGTAGGCCGGAGTCACTTTGTAAACCCCTCAGTTTTCTGTCAGTGAGGGGAAGGCAAGTGCAGTCAGCTCTTCCATTTCCAGTCCAGAGAATAGTGACACAAATGGTCCAAAGCTTAAATACTTGTTTTAGAAGATAACACTCAGAATTTTTAATATTTCCAACTAAATAATGAAATTGATGTAGAGAAAGCAAACCGGAACTACTGAAATGCTGCCCAGGTTCCCCATTCCATCCTGTGTCCATCCTCACGCACACAGGCTCTCTGCTAATCTGAGCCCCACTCCTTCCTCTTCTCCATTGCCTCCCAAAGGAGAAGCAAGCCTTCTGCTGGCTGCAGTGCAGTGCCTGCTTGTACAGAAAGGCACCTTTCCTGAGCTGGCTCTGTAGCTAGTTCTTATCTCCTTGATGAGAAAAGATGAGACTCAAAGAAAGGTCTGTTACCAGTTATCAGCTTCGACCAGTGTCAGACACTGAGAGGCATTTCACATGCACGGCTCCCTTTGGTTTCCCAAAGTTCCTGCTGACCTACAGGTTGTAAGAATGAGGGATGGTCAGCAAGGAAACTGAGCACTCAGGCCTGCCGGGGAGGGGTAAAGCTTAAATGGATCTCCTGAGAAGTCTCTAATTTGCCACACATGATGGAGAACCTCTTGCAGGAAAGGAAGAGGGAGCATGTAGAGAAGTGAGGGGGTAGGAGGCTGAGCTTAGGCAATCTGTTAGCTTCCCCCTTACTGTAACTCCCTTTACAGAGGTCTTGTTTTTTTCCTTTTTTCCCCCTATGAAAACTTAAATCTCCCATCTTTACACTTATGGAGAGGCCCAAACCCAACCTCCCCTGACCTCTTCAAAGCAATTCCTGATTAACCAAGGGCTTTGTCCGTCTCATCTAGAGAGATCTGGGGTCCTCATTGGCCCGGCTGGGACCATTCCACTGCCCCAGCATCCTAGGGGCCCTGACAGCACCCACTGACAGTAAGAGCTCACCTGCCTTGGCTGCCCTTCTCCTGCATTTCCCAGGCCCAGAGTCTCCCCCTGGAGCTTTCCCCCTGACTCTGCATTCAGCCTGCTCCTTCTGGCTCTGCTCAAAAGTGCACCAGCATTCCCCCCAGATTCCCTCCTGGTATGATGGCATTGCCACAGAGCTGCTTCTGCGATGGAGCTGAACTCTCCTTCCCCAGGAGGAGCTGTAATGTCAAGAAGCAGAGGCTGGGGTCATGGGGGGAGTGGCTGGGAGGGGAGGGTGTGCAAAGTGTGTCTCCTCTGATGCTGACCTTGCCTGTGTCCCTTCCACTGCCAGCTCCAGCAAGGAAACTCCCACCCAAAAGAGCAGAAGGCGACATTAAGCCATACTCTTCCAGTGACCGAGAATGTAAGAGGGCTGCATGGGTGTCTGGGCCTGGGGGGGGGAGGGGCTTTAACCCAGGGGAAGGGGCTGTTCTCTCTCAAGGCTCTGATTTCTCTTTTTTCTACCCTGATATATATTTTTTTTAAGATTTATTTATTTATTTATACAAGCACTGGGTACAGTCAGAAGCGTGGGAGGGTGAGAGAATTCACTAGAGCCAGAGCGGGGAACAGAACAGGCAGACTGACGAAATACACTGCTGAGGGGAGCAGCAGGCGCAGCAGGAGAAGTCTGTCACACCATGTGGGACCCTCGCTGGTGGCTGGGGATCGAACCGGTGCTGCCGAGGCTGCAGGCAGCTTCGCAGCCCAGCGCTCAACTGCTGCGCCACCAGGGGAGGCCCTCTACCCTGATTTTTGCTGTTGACTCTTCCCTCTCCATTTTCTTCTGTCTTGCTCTATATTCTCTTTTCCCCAAGTCCTGAAGGTAGCTGTGGAGCCTCCTTGGCCCCTAAACAGGGCCCCCCGCCGTGCAACACCTGCAGCTCACCCACCCCCTCGCTCCAGCAGCCTGGGGAACTCTCCAGAACGGGGTCCTCTCCGCCCCTTTGTGCCAGAGCAAGAGCTGCTGCGGTCCCTGCGCCTCTGCCCCCCTCACCCCACTGCCCGCCTTCTGCTGGCTACCGACCCTGGAGGCAGCCCAGCACAACGTCGCCGCACCAGGTAATAGCAGCTGGAGGGTTAGGGAGCCTCAAGACTGTCAGAAGGTATTAGAAATGGCAGGGGACAATTTGAACCCTTTAGCAAGGTGAAGCAATAGGACAGGAGGACTAGAGAGTCTGAAAATCTTCAAAGAATATATTGGAAAATATTTTGGGGAGTGTTTTGGAAATACAATAAAAGAGCAGGTAGGATTTTATATGGAGTTTAGGGACTGTAGTTTAAAGTGGATTGGGAAGAAGCATAGGAGGAACAATACATTGAGGAGGGAACTGAGCCTCTAAGGTTGAGGAGATCATGCTTTAATACACTGGGAATGGGCAGTGCCTCGGACACAATTGGGGGAGCTCCTGGCTCCAGGTCAGTGCCTTGAGTGGCAGGAGCCCATCCCAGCAGGCAGAGCGGGTGTCTCCTTTATTTGTCTTCCTGGCTTTCTCTTCACCTGACTTCTGTTTTTCTCTCTTCCCCCATTTTCCCTCTCCCTTTCTCCTGTCCATGCCATCACTCCATAGCTCCCTTCCACGCTCTGATGAAAGTCGATACTGATAGACAGCTAACCCCCAGCTCCTTGGGAGAACTGGGTGTGCAGAGACCCCGCTCCCTGAGAACCCCAGACCCACTCTTTATCCCCAGGATCCAGTGGAACCTGACAGAACCCATAGGATTTCCCCCTTCCCTTTTCTTGGACAACTGGGTGGTCAGGATCCCAGATGGCCTACTACTTTGTAGCTTTTCCCACCGTAGAAAGCTCCCCCTTATCTCTTAACTTGGGCTCTGAACACTTCCACAGACAGCCCAATTCGCTGCTAAACCCCTTGAGCAGCTCATTCTGTTTACCCAGAGAAGCACACACTTGCTTGCTGTCAGACTCTAGAACACCATGGAAAGTCCCAGGGCCTCCTCTACTAGGCTGACCTTTTAAGGAGTCTTGTCCATGGAATATATACCGTATTCCCTCTAGTGTCTACTGGTAGCTCCAGTACTGCTTTGTGCTGCCTACTATACTTAACCTTTCAGTCTGCCCATGCCAGCCAATGAGCTCTGCTTCAGAGCAGTCCAGTTAGGTAGGACAGGGACTTACCAGCTCCCCAAAGGGATCCAGTCAACATTGCCAAACTCTTCATTTCCATGTTTTCTGTATTTGTCAGGGAGCCCCTAAGCTGGTGTCTGTTTTGGGGTTCTAAAAGACTCATCTCCCTTCTAAAGACACCTCTTCCCCCAGATCCAGATTCTGTGAGGATGTCTGTCTCTTGGCAGTAGATCCCAGCTAAGTACCCTAGCCAGGTTTCAGAAGATAAGCCTGAATCTCAAGGATCTATTAACTCCTGGAATACCCTCTCACCATCACTCCCCCAGTGGCTAGATACTGATAGATTCCTGTCTTGTGAGATTGTTTTGAGATGGGGGTACACCTCCTCTCACCTTCCTTTTTTCTTCCCTCCATGGTAAGAACCTTCTTCCCTGTTCCAAACCTTGGATAGAACATCCTTTCCCCTCCCCACCTTCTGAGTGTGTGGTAGATCAGGTTCCCCAAGTGTTCCCCCCAAATCCTTGGGAGCAGGATCTCCCTCTCTCCCAACACCCTTTCTCATTCTTCTCTCCAGTGTTGTCTGAATCAAGTGTGAATTCTTTTGTGTTTTTTAAATTGAAATTTTCAATGAAAAACAAACAAAAAAACTTTGTCTCAGCCTCGTCTATGCGTCACTCCTTATTTTCCTGGGATTTTAAGACCTCTATCCCCCTCACTTTCCTCACGTCTGGGATCTTCAGATCTTCCAGCAAGCTCAGAGCTTCCCTTGCCGGCTCTGGTGTGTCTATTCCCATATTCATTTCTGGATCTTCTCCTGCAGATTCTGTCACTGGATCCCTCTCTATTGCTCCTGTGTCTGCTGCTCCCCATTCCCTCCAGAAGCCACAAGCTCTCCTCAGTGACTTCTATCTTTACCCCAAGCCAGTCCTTGCCAAGATGTTAAGGAATATCAACATCTCTGGGATCCATTCATTGCCTCACCACCCAATAATAATCCCCTACTCATTCCCTGGATTCCTCCCACTAATTTCCTGCTGTCTGCTCCACTAAACCCTTAGGCCTCTCTCAAGACAATCTTACCTCTGTTCAGAGCCCAACGATCTGTCACCTCTGCTTCAAAATCTTTCCTTTTCCTCCTAAATTCAGCCTCACCACTCCCTATTTCTCTCTGGTCTGAGGTATCCTGTCATTACAGTAGCTGTGTTTTCCAAACCAAACATCAGGGCACCTGGTGCAACAGATTCTTTCGGCCTCCCTTGTGAGTCTGTTTTTATGACATGATTTGGATCACACTTAACCTTATGTTTAAACCACTGCTTCCACTAGAAGTAAAGCAACAAATCAGGACTGCTCCAGAAAATCTTGGGGTATAAAATGAGCTTCCCTTTAGTGGGACATAATTTAGATTGAAATTGAAGCCCCATAGCAACAATAATTGCCCTTTCTTTTTGTTCCTGTGCTATTCCTTTTTGTTCCTCCTCTCCATACCCACTCATCTTTCATCCTGTGGCCTCTTCCCCATCATCTCCCATTTCTCCTACAGGGGGACTCCCCCAGGGCTGGTAGCCCAAAGCTGCTGCTACAGCCGCCACGGGGGGTTGAATTCCTCATTCCCCAGTACAGGTAAGTATTCATCCCTCCTTACACCCAAATCAAGTAGGCCATATTCACTACCTCGCCAGTGCTCCCACGCACATGCCTGATATTTCCACAGGCAATCAAGAATTGAAGCAGGGGGAACAGGAAAGAGAGAATAGGTGAGGTCTGAGCCCCTCTTCTAAGAGCCTTCCACCATCTCTGACTCCTTTCCTAACATCACCCTCAGCTACTCACTCCTGCCAGTCCTCACTCTCTCAACTGGACACCAGCTCCTCCCACAAATCCTAACATCTACAACCCTCTTTCCCCATAGGTTCAACTCTTGCTTCCCTTTGGTGCTCTTGGAAGGGTTTCAAATAGGGACATAACACTAATGGCTCTAGCCTCATAGGCCTTGGGTCCTCCTCTACACAGGAGCTGGACAGGCCTTAAAGAGTCTGTGATATAATTGTCACTTTAGTACCCCTAAAACCTATTCTCCATCTCCCTCCCAACTACCAGGTGTTCCAGTGAGGAGCAGGTCTTGTCACAGGACGGGTCTGGAGAGGAACCCATACATACAGTTCCTCCACAGGCCCAAACCCAGACACAGGCCCAGGCTCAGGCCCAGGCTCAGGCTGCATCTGCCCAGTCCTGGACAGTGAGTGGCGACATGTTCAACGCAAGGTTCATTCGAAATTTGCAGGAACGTCGCAGCACTAGGCCTTGGTGACCACGGTCTCGTCTCACACCTTCAAAGTCAGTATTATTTTTCTCTCACTACAGCACCTAGATAAAGCCAGCCCTCATAATGGATATTCATTCACTCATTCATTCATTTGACAGGCTCACTGGTGCCAAATCATTTGTATTTTATTTTTAAGCAGACCAATAAAAGTATTTATTTTTATCACGAGTTATTGAAAAACTGGATTGTCATTATTTCAATCCCACTTCCCTCACGTTGCACCCACTGCGCCCACACTGTCGCCCAGCTTTCTGCGCAGGCGCCACAGGTGGAGCGAGCCATACTACGGGCCCGCTAATTTGCTGCGCAAGCGCTCTGCGGCAGGCAGCGTCCACGCGCGCGCAGGCGCACTCCCTGCAGACCGAGCGCCTCACCGCCTCCGTGGAACCCTCAGTGCGCAAGCGCGCAACATCTCCGTTTCCCTGCCCTCAGCCCCTGGCCCCCCCCCTTTCCCCTTCAAGAAGCCGGCTCCGGGGCGCGCTCACCCTGTGAGGAGGCCGGAGGCCGGACTCGGGAGGCGCCCTCCCCCACTCCCGGAAGATCATGTACCGGCCCAGTCGGGGGGCGGCCAGGCGTCTCGGCCCCTGCCTCCGCGCCTACCAGGCTCACCCCCAGGTGAGAGCGGAGGGGGCGGGGAGAGACCCTCCTCAGAGCCGGCGTGTGGGGCGGAGCGCGCGCCCGTTCCGCGCAGGCGCAGTGGCCTCCCACCGCCCCTTCCCACCTGAGCCGGGCGGGCGGCGAGCGGAGGGGCCTGGGTCTCGGGGTGGGGGCGCGGCGCCACCGCCCTGGCGCTCACGCGACGTCAGTTCTCCCGAGCCTGGGGTGGAAGTCGGGGCCACGGGGCGCGTTCACGCTTGGTTGAGTCTCCGCGGTTACCTGTGCCTGGAGGTGATTTGAAGGGCAGAGGCCAGAGGTTCGCAGCCCGACCGCGGCGCCGCCCCAGTTTCCTGGTCCCGACCAGACAGACCTGCGGGCCGCGCTCTGCAGCCTGCGCAGTTTGCACCCGGATAGCGGTCCCGGCAGGAAAGCGGGTTCGGGTAGACCCGGTTCGGGCCCCGGTGCCCGGGCGGGCAAGATGGCCACGCCCCCGGCGGAGACGGCGCCTCGGGGACTCCATCGGGGACCGAGGTACCCGCGCGACCCGCCCGCCCTCCCGGGACTACGACCCCCGGGGCGGGGGGTTTCCTTGGGAGCAGAGGGACTCGAGTCAGGCCAGACTGGTGATCATCTCCCCTTGTCACAGCTGCAACGTCGGAAAACCAGGGGCAATGAAGTCCGGTCATTAATAGTCTCCTGGGCTTATTCCTGTCATAACAGGGGCCTGAAATAATAGCTTCCATTTATATATTACTTTATAGGTCGCACCGTTTTATTTACGTTTATTGTCTCATCCAATCCTCATAACTCAGTGTGGCTTCATCGTTCTCCTTTATAGGAGAACATTTATAGGAAACAGGCACAGGGAGTGAGATTGCCTAAGGTTACAGGATAGAATTGGAACGCAAAAGTCTCCAGTTCCAGGTGGATGTTTGGCTGTGCAACATCCACCTCACTCAATCGTGGAGATGTGGTGCAGGCTGTATCGTTTCATCCACAGGGCCATACAACCTGTTACTCATCTCATTTTTCAAGTATATATTCTTACAATTCTTGCCATATAGGAGGTGGAATTGCCCCAGTGTTGGACCCTTAAGCAAATGAAAAGGTATTTTGCTGTGTTTTGGAAGGTACTTGTAACTGTCACAGGGAACAGCTTCCTCCTGTTTTTAGTAGAGATGTAGGTGACTCCATCCCATTTTGTAGTAATTCCATCTCTCCTGTCAGGAGCAGCAGGTGGGGTTGGAAGGAAGCATGCTCATGAATGGAGCTTGGATCAAGGGGCATTGGGCAGCTTAATTCTTTTTCACCTTTTGTTCTTCCTCCTTAGGACCAGCTTTCTCCACGGGCTCTACCATTCCCACCCCTTTGGCCTCACTCCACCACCACCACTTCTCCACCTTCTCTTCTCTGGTCTCCCTCACCCTCACACCCTCGTACCTGGCTGCTTCCCAGAGCTTCCCCACCACCTCTCCCTCCGGTGCAGGCCCTCAGCTCACCATGGGTCGTTCTCCCTCCAGGAAAGGGGGAGGAGGGACCAGGACCTGAGTTGCATAGTGGCTGCCTGGATGGGCTTAGGAGTCTATTTGAGGGACCTCCCTGGCCCTACCCTGGGGCTTTGATACCTTTCCAAGCCCCTGGGACTGCCCACTCTTCCCCTGCCACTCCATCAGGAGATCCAAGTATGGAGGAGCACCTGGCCGTCATGTATGAGAGACTAAGACATGAGGTATGTCTCTTCGAAGTCACCTTTGTCTGCAGTAGGAAGGGATGTAGAGGGTTAGTCAACTGGATTTTCTTGGAACCATGAAGCCAAACCATAAGCATTTCCCAAGGCATAGATGCGCCTCCTAGAGTTATAGTTAAGGGAAGTTAAACATGGGATGAGACAATCAGACAAGAATAAAGAGGCACCAAAAATAGAAACTGAGGGATTTTCACTCCCTCTGAGCTGACACCCTCTTCTTCCATCTAGCTTCCCAATATCTTCCTTCACTCTCACGACTACAGTCTCTACTCATCAGATGTGGAGTTCATCAATGAGATCCTGAACATACGAACCAAGTGAGAATCCAGCCATGGTAGGGCCTGGGGGAGGAAACGCACCCATTGCTATGTATCTGGTCTTGTGCACTTACAGAAAAGGTCTTAGGCTGCTTCTCACAGCCTTCTGTTCCTTGGACAGAGCCAGTTTGGTTTTCCTATTCTGCTATCATGAGATTCCTTTCCCACCCTTTTCTTCACAGGGGCCGGACATGGTACATTTTGTCGCTGACCCTCTGCCGCTTCCTAGCCTGGAACTATTTTGCACAGCTTCGATTGGATGTTCTACAGCTGACCCGCCACCCTGAGAATTGGAGCTTACAAGCCCGCTGGCGGCTCGTGGGGCTGCCCATTCACATGCTTTTCCTGCGTTTCTACAAGCGTGACAAGGAAGAGCTTTACAGGTAAGAAAGAGGTGGGAAAGGACTCACAGTAGTTTTTAAATCTTACCCTTTCAGGAATCTTATGTTTTCCCAACCCTTGATCTATCCTGCCTTTAACTGTATAGATCCTTGAGGGCAGGGATCACTTTAGTCAATTTTAATGTAACAAATAGGGATTTGAGTACATAAGCCTCTGAACTCAGTTTTTTCATGTATATTATTACCTGGCATAATGTAGGTATTCAAAAGATTACTGAACAAAATGAAAATCCCTATCTCTAAGTTCGATCCCCGACTGCTCCCCAGCCACCGGAGGAGGGTCCCACATGGCGCGCAGGCCGCCCGCTGCTCCCCTCAGCAGTGTACTTCGGTCCTTCTGCCTGCTCTACTCCCTGCTCTGGCTCTGGTGAAATTTCTGGCCCACAGTACATAGCCTCTTTAAAAAAAAAAAAAAAAAGAAAATCCCTATCTCATAAGTTGAGACTCACCACTGCAGGTAAAGTGGTACCTGGTAAATTTCTGGCACAGAATAGAACTATAAGAAACCTCCCTGTGGTCTAGGGGTTAAGTCTCAGCACTACTACTGTGAAGGCCCACTGCGTTGGCCTGAGTTTGATCCCCAGCCAGGGAGCTAACCCACATACGGCGCAGCAGAACTCTCCTGTCTCACCCGCTGCTCCCCTCAGCAGTGTATTTCAGTAGATCTGCATGTTCTGTTCCCCACTCTGTCTGGTGAATCCTCTCACTCCCTGCAACTCTGGCCTACACACCAGTTCTACAAAAAAAATAAAATCTTAAAATATAAAGATGTAAACCAGCATTCTCTCAAGAGAAACTATTGGTAGGGCCTCCCTGGTGGCCGAGGGGTTGTCTCAGTGCTATCAACACTGTTGCCTGAGTTCGATCCCTAGCCAGGTGGTTAACCCATATATGGTACAGCAGACCTCTCCAGTCTCGCCCACTGTTCCTCTTGGCAGTATATTTCAGTAGATCTGCCT